CACCGGACGTTTCCATCCAGGAAGGACCACGAAAAAGCCGAGTTTGAGGTCCACGAAGTTTACGCCGTTGATGTTCTCGTCAGCAGCGGAGAGGGAAAGGTGAGTGTGTCCTCCTGCAGGACAACCAAGCGCTGAAGGCCTTGGGGTGCGGGTTCCTGCGGAGAACGTTTGCCGTCAGGGTACGGGGTGGAGGTTTTGGGGTACGGGGTGGAGGTTTTGGGGTACAGGATGGAGGTTTTGGGGTACGGGATGGAGGTTCTGAGGTACGGGATGGAGGTTTTGGCGCAGGCGCTGCCCCGTGCTCAGCTCTGTCTGCATTCGCAGGCCAAGGATGCGGGCCAGAGAACCACGATCTACAAAAGGGACCCGTCCAAGCAGTACGGCCTGAAGATGAAAACCTCCCGTGCCTTTTTCAGCGAGGTGGAGCGGCGCTTCGACACGATGCCGTTCACTCTCAGGTACTGCCGTTGTTCGCGGCGTCCCCAGGCTGTGCCCATCCCGTCGCTGCCGTTCGGGGTTTGCACCCCGGTGCCGTGGGGGTAGGGAGGACGTTGGGGGCTCGGGCAGGAATCCCTGGGGTGTGAGACCTCCTGTGCCTCATAAGCTGGGGGTTTGAGACCTGTGGGGAGCCAGGGCTTGGGTCTGGACTAAACCAGAGGGGGCAGGGGCAGCCCCAGCCGCATTTTTCAGTGATTTGCTCCAAACCAAGGAAGCGACGTGGCCCCAGCAGCCGCTTTTTGTCCCTAAATCCGCTCGTCCTCCCTGCTCTGTGGCTGCCCCACGGCACCACAGGGCCAGGGAATCAACCCGGGGTGGTCCCCGAGACTCATGGGGGGGTTTGGGTGCGGGAAGGGCCGAGCTCAGGGCGGCCGCGTTGTCTCCGCAGGGCGTTCGAGGATGAGAAGAAGGCCAGGATGGGGGTGGTGGAGTGCGCCAAGCACGAGCTGCTCCAGCCCTTCAACGTCCTCTACGAGAAGGAAGGTGAGGCTGGGGGCACCCTGCACGCACCAGAGCTGCTCTCCAGGGGTCCTGCAGGAAAAATGGGGTGCTCCTGGCTTCTGGAGTCAATCCGGAGTCAGTCTGGAGTCGCTCCAGGATGAGATTAAGTCTGTGTGCGGTCGTTTCCTGGGCAGGAGAGGCCGAGGGGTGAATCTGGGGCTCTGCTCTGGGTGTGGGGGTTGGTTTATGCTGGATGGGGGGGGAACAAACCCAAACCTGACCCTGACCCAAACCCCTCTCGGTCCCGCAGGGGAGTTCGTTGCGCAGTTCAAGTTCACGGTGCTCTTAATGCCCAACGGCCCGATGAGGATAACCAGCGGCCCCTTCGAACCCGAGCTCTACAAGTCGGAGTTCGAGGTGCAGGACGGCGAGCTGAAGGTGGGTTTGTAAAAGCCCAAAAATCCCAAAAACAGGGGAGGGGCTGCGGCTTGCGAAGGAAACGGAGCCTGAGCTCAGGGCTGGGGACAGGGACACCCGGCCCTGC